TAGAGCCAATTTTTTTGTCAAACATCGACTAAACAAAAGAGAATTATACGCAGTTTAAGAAACGGAACCCCCCTTTGAAAAATCCTGGATCCGCCACTGAGGTGTCCTGCAAAAGTGTGAATAACAAAGTCTCGACTACTTCTTCTACTTACACCTTTCTTGATTTTAGTGTTTTTAAACGTAATGCAAATAACAAAGGAGCTCCTGAAAAACGAGATTGATGGAGCACTTGTGGATAATTACGTCATCACACACTTCTTGGAGTTTATCAAAGATGAGCCAATAAGAGTAGAGAAGTACATCGAACATCCAATCACGTATGGAGTTGTATTAGCAAGAAATTCGTCAAGACTTGAACGATGTATACGTCATTACATTATAAACTATCCTCAAGAGATTTTTGAGAGAATTGCTGAGAACCTGATTCCGCTTAAGGTAAATCACATGCATACTAAACGATTCGTTTTATTCTTGTATAAGCTTAACATATGGAATATTTTATCTTCCAAGAATCCAACTGATGACGTGAGTCAGCAGCTAAAAGCAGCCGAGTCATTGTTTTACCAAGAAAAGATGTTCAGCCACATCATGTTTGCTGGTCTTGGGTTGGTTGGGACTCTGTTCTTGGTCGGTATTATCTGGGAATTTGCCTACAGAAGACCTAAAATAAGTAAGTGTTCTGGACTAAATTCGCACCAAAATAATTCAAATTTTTATTTCTATTGTGATCTTTTCCCCCCGCAGAAAATCAGCGCATATGTCTTGGACCAAAGATGACGTTTAGTTCCGATGACGAAACAGTCAAACTACAAGCGACTGATGAGTCACCTGTAGCCAAACTTGATGATATGATAGGTGAATATCAGATGTTCCACGAAGCCTGGATCAGCAAACTGAAAAAAATACGAGACGCAGAATTGAACGGCAACAAAATGGAAGGGAGCAAAGAAATGATAGAATCCTGATCCAGACCCTTCTAGTTATAATCTCTTTGATTATTTTGTTTTTAATGGTATTAATGCTGTGCACCGTTAAACCTTCAGTCTTGTTTAATGGTTACTGCATGTATATCAAAGCGTAGAGCATCCTAAATGTGTATTAGGGTGAGGTTTGAGACTTGAAAACATGCACTGCATCGCAACTCGTCCCAGTCTTTTTCCCAACCTTGGAAAGACTGATATACGCGACGTCAAGATTTGTACGAAAAAAACGACTTCCGGGCCCAAAACAACACAAAGCAGTTCTATGAAGATTTTCTTACCTTTTCTTCGTTACAGGATTAGTTGTTCAATTATTTCTAATTCTATCAGTTGCAAATGAAATCATCGAGAACATTTTTCGCTTTATTTTAGTGGTTTTTGTGAGCAGATGGACCCGGAAATACGTCAAAACTTAAAAGCAAAAAGTCTCCCCTTTCTCCTCAGTTCCATGCCATGGTAAACAACAGCACATACTAGTATGATTTTTTATTTTTGCTTATGTTTGTTTTTTTTTTAAAACGGTATTTTACTTTAGTTATTTTATTAAAAATAGTCAGTGTGATTGCTTACTTTTAAAATCCAATATTTATTCAAAGGTCATGTTGCTTAACATACCTTATCAAAGACGATGGGAGGTGATCATGTGACCTAGTGTGGCATACCTTATCCATGATGGGAGATGATCATGTGACCTAGTGTGGCATACCTTATCCATGATGGGAGGTGATCATGTGACCTAGTGTGGCATACCTTATCCATGATGATGGGAGGTGATCATGTGACCTAGTGCACATTTCCCATGAACGAGATTTCCCCTGAACTTGATTAAGAGTTGGAAAAACAAGTTACATATTTTWAAATTCTTTTAATACATTTTGAATTTTGAATAAATTAATTTATATCTCAAATTTTTTTGTAATTATAAAGTAATTCCCTATACATTATTTTCACCGTATCTTTACAAATATTTGGGTAAAACTCACATAAATGTATGCATAAATAATTTAACTTTTTGAGTGTTGTGTTTGGTATCAGGTGCATGCCATGGAGGATTTTGATAGAAAGGACCATACATAAATTATATAAATTTAGTATAAACCTACTAATGGTCTATCACAAATCCTTTGCTCTGATTGGCTGAGCTACTAATGGTCTGTTAGTAGCATAAAGTAGTAGTTTGAAAACGAACACAACACAACTCACAAAAAAAAATATTTCAATTTCATTTAAACATTATTCGTAATTATTCATTTGACATATTATTAGGTTTATACTATGAAACAATTATTATATCTCTTTTGAATACATTACTTGCTTCTGATTGGCATTACTTTCAATGGCATGGGATAAAGTTCTATTACAAGAATCATGAATGTCTTACACATGTAATAAGTATTATTTGGGAGTACAACAAACTGTACTACTGTAGTTGCCAAAGTAAACACCCAAAAGCCCACACCATTGTCTTCAAATGAAGGCACTTAGTGTAGATAATAGTGTGGAATAGTGTAGATAACAAGCACATCGCTCACTGAATGGCACCTCAGCATGTGTCAACATATATTCTTAAGAAAACCTCCAACTCATATGCAAAGTTGTCAAGTGATTATATACCCATCAAATCATTGGTCCCTCAAAAAATAGGATATATTCTTTTGAATTATGTAACTGGTCAAATTAGTACATCACACATTCTTTCTAGATATGCAGTTCTTTTATGCTCCAGGGTGTCAAGAAAACTAGCAATTCTTTGCTTTCTCTCATCTTGATATGTCTGAACCCGCTGAAATACACCTGGTTTCCTTATCAGATCCTCATATTTCCATTCGTTTCCCATTGAGTTTCTATGATTTTGATGGTTATTTGCACCATTTGATATAAACATGCTGTCAAAAACACATTGCAAGTCTGACTCAAGCTCTGTTTGAATCTGTTTTTCCTCAACTTCATTTCTTGCTTGCTGTAAAAAGTAAGAAAAGCAGTTAACATTAATGTCAGTGCTATTATATATATATATATATATATATATATATATAACACTCATTAATAATTCATAAGCTTATGGTCCAATTGAAGCCACCATACACGTCACGTGCATAAACCTTTATACCCGATAAAGTCCTCTTCATTAGTATTCAAATGATTTTATATAAAGACACATGTGTCTTTATATAAAGACACGTGATCTTTATATAAAGACCACTTGAATACTATGAGGATGACTTCATCAGGGATGAAGTATGCATCCAAGTTTAGATGAAGACATAGAGCTTCATCAAGGTCATAGTCAACCCTAAAGATCTTCTACTAACGCGCCTGTCTTTGCCTTGGCACGCAATATCCAACGTGTGGGAGCTTCTATTGAATCTGGTTGCGCATGCCCGTCACGTCAAATCTCTATCGAAGTATAAAAAT